TCTATGGGCCTCTCCAAAGTCTAGACATTCTATCAAAATGTGCCTAAAGGTAAAATCTGTGTCGCATCCCACACAGAACGGCTTCTCATCTACCTGAAGAGGTGTCAGGGACGTGTGTCTGATGCGTAATCGAGTAAAAATGACTTCGTCTCTTCTGGAGAGGCCTGAAGGTTTTCGAAGACCCACTTGGGGTTTAATGATGTGGAGTTTGTTGTTGGTTTGTCTCTACCAATTTGTCTCCCACAGACTGGAGGTGTAGTTTTTTACCCTATTATTAAAGTCAGTTTAGTTTTAGTAAGTGTTTTATGGCACTTGCAACACAATAAGGTCACAGGTGTTACGAGAGAGTAACAAACACAAAAAAGGAGGAGAGAGACAGTTTAGTTTTAGTAGAGGTTTTACGGCACTCGCAACTGCATAAGGTCATATGAGCGCCAGAAGATTGTAACAAACACAAAAAAGAAGGAGGGGAGATAAGGACAATAGATGTTTGATAGGAAAGAAGAAGCAAACCACACCAGAGCACCCGCCAACCACCCACATTATTAAAGACAGTTTGAGGGAGCAGTGAGTCAAGTCAACAACAACAACAACTACAAAATATATAATATAAACAACAACAAAATATATTATAATATAAATAAGAAAATCAAAGAGAACAATAAAACCACACTATATTTATTGGTCAATCCAACAAGAGCAGGAACGTAACAACTCTACACAGTCAAGAGCTGACCCGGAAATAAAGCCCTCAGTCCCTACTCATTGCTGCCAGGTGTCGCGGTGTGTACAGAAGACGAGCTCGAGGGGATAGATAGATCGAGAGAGAGAGGGGGGATTAAAAAAAACCCACCCTCACCCCCCTCGCGTACAACTAAGAGAGAAAGGGGGGATTTTAAAAATCCACACCCATCATCCCCTGCGCACACAATTTCTAATGGTAGACAGTCAGGCGTGAGGAAAAAAAAATTATGTTCGCACTCACACACACGGTGAAGAAGGTGCAGGGTGAAATGCCGTGTCTGTCAAACTGGGGAGGGGGGCTGTGTGTGTATGTAATGTGTGCGTGTGTGTGCGTGTGTGTGCGGGCGACTGGTCGTAAATGAGAACATGTAAGGCAAACTGCCTGTACTGACAAAGAGTTACCAACAGAGTGCACTTACACGTCAGCCTACATTACCATAATATCATTCGGCCACTCGGCCCTCCACACACACGCACAAACACACACACAGACAAAAAAACCCAACAACAATGAGATGGGAAGCATTGTCTAGAGTATAGAAGCCCTTGCCATCTTATATTCCACAGCTGTCATTACCGTAAAGCTTTTTAAAAAAAACTAATATTTGGGGGGTTTTGTTAAAGCGTCCACTTTTAAAGCATCCACATAGTTACCCTAATACTTTGAGCAAATACACATTAATATACGCGTACAGAAATACAGGAAAGAGGGAGTACGACTGGGATCTGTGAGAGACTCATATCATCAAATTCGATCAAAGTCGACACACCGACGTCGGTACATAAACCAAGAATCAAGACACCAATGATATGTCGTTTTCAACACTTAAGGGCCGATCCCGATCTACCGACGAGTTCCGAATATCATAAGAGTAAAAATATTTTCATATCGTAAAATGAAAATACAGTTGCTAAGTAGAAAGCTCATTTAAATCGCAATTCATTTTCAAAAAAAAAAAAAAAAAGAAAGAAAAAAAAATCTTCACCTGCTGTGGCGTGGGGGGTGGGTAGCTCGAGCGGAGAGTACAACGGGCAAGAAGATGAGATTCATGCGGGCAGCAAAAGCTGTTCCCTGGCGGGCTACTACTCCGTGGGTGAACGCGTTACGTTAAGTAGACATCTGATATCGCACTTGTAACTAGTAGCTAAAACAACATCCTCAAAAATTATTCAATCACTCTTTGAGTAGTATCTCGTCGAGTCCTTACGGCCAGCCGGCACAGAAAAGCTATAGCCTCGTCAACAAGCCACAGAGGAGGCGGCTAGGGTCTGTGAAAGCAAAGTGTAGGGGGGGGGGCTGGAGCTGGCATGAGACGACGGCAACAACGACGACAGCGCGATGAACGGATGAGAAAGGAATGACCCACCCCCCGATGCTCCACACTTGTGTACAGTTGGCCGGCACACTCACTCCACTCATCACAACCTGGCCACACACGATACACACAAAAAAAACCTCAAACCCAACCCAAAACAAAACCACGCATAAATGCATAACAAATGATCTCTGAGTGCGCATGACCTGGCTGTGAGACTAACAACAACAACAACAGTAATGACGGCGACAGTAATCGCGCGCAACAACTATTAATAGGCCACAACTGCGGCAGACACCATTATGCATAGAGACGTGACTGCTATCTGTAAACAACAAAACTTCCAAGCTAGAGCACTCCGTAACACTAACACTATGGTGCTTCTGACGAGCACTGCGGTACCGTACTCCGGTATCTATAGTAACCCTGAGGGAATGCGACATTAAACATACGAAAAGTAAGAGAGGTTGCAGTTTGTTTTAGCCTCCACAAGTCCACTATACACTTTTCCCATCCAACATTACCCATCAATCTTTGTGATGATTATGACAAGACTCAAAAAGATTTCACTATTAACTTAAAAACAAATCTTTCCAAGATTCAATCTTTTTTGGATTGGTTTTTTGTTTGTTTGGGTTTTTTTCATTCATAGTATAGCAACACAATCATATATTTCCATCAAGCCAAAACCATTGCTAATTGTAATTCAGCATAAATAAATAAATAAAATGCTGCGGCATTCAGCCTTCATATTCATCAATGCACAGAACGAGCTCATGGGTCAGTCGAACATCAAATATTCAATCATCGGTTTGGTGTTCTCGTTTATCAGTTTTCCTGGGGGAGG